TATCTGAGGCAGGAAACATAGCCTTATATGGTGTTTTTGGGGTGGTAATTATGCTAATCGCCTCTCGCGTGCACGAGCAGCTGGATAGAACAGGTGAAATTTACGCAGCTCATTTACGCACGTTTCTTGAAGATAGAAGAGTTTGTTGAATCTGACGTGACATGTTCGTACGAACCCTTTGTACGAACAAAAGTATGAAGGATAAGAATACAAACATGTTCTTGCATGAGGCCCAATGATCCCAAACACAGCAGCTAACCTACAATAGAATGGCTTAAAGCAAGACTATTCAACTGGCGGCCCACGGGCCGGAGTGACCGAAGTTCGGCCCGCCAATTGGTTTGTTCATCTCTTAAGCCCAAACCCCTGGTTTTCTACTTTAATTACTCTAAGTTCTTTTATTTAAACTCAATTCACTGTCATCAGGCTGGTTTCTTACCAGTGGTACAGAGGAAACCACTGGCTGCTGTTTTTCAGCCCAAACCTTTGCTCCTGCTACTCCATTACCCAAAATGAATGTGATTCCTTCTATGGGCAAAGCTGGACGAACACCCACACTCACTTGTCCCTGAAAAAGATCAGAATACAACATTACATTGTGCATAGGGACTTGCAAAACTTTCATGCCCATGCCTAGCACTGGGATAGAGCAGCCTGTAGCACTATGCTCAGAAAATGGCAGTACTGATGCCTGAATAAAAGAACTGATTATGAAAAAAACCTCTGCATAGAGCAAGTTTATTAGCCAGAGGAGTAAGTGAGTTTAAGGGGGCCTGAAGAATCCAGTCCCCCAAAACCAGCGCAGCCATAGTTCAGAAATATTGATGGAAACTGGTTTAAAGGGGCAATATCATGTCAAATAATTTTTTTTGAGTTTTATATTATGTTATAATGTTATACTCTTATAAAAAAGCCTTGCTCTGACTCATTCATGCATGTTTGAGAAATCCTGCAGCGTTTTTTATGAAGCCATGCTGAGGAGCAAAACGACAGGTGGGGACCAGAAACGCCTTTTGGTACCAGAATTACCCCTGGAACGTGTCTTTAAGCCGAACTTCCTCATGGCAGAGCGCACCCCCTCCCCCCATCCCACACACCCCGCCCATGACTCCTGTGCAGGCTCTCGGGTCAAATTGAAAGTGAAACCTAACTGTCTGCTGAGCTCTCAACATTAGTTCTCACTCAGTGAAGCTCTTTTCAGATTAAAAATACCTTTGAGGAAATGTATTTTCAGATGCCAGGTAAACTGCATCATGGCACACGCGCATTAGAGACCCCCCTCTCCTTTAATTAAGAATATTTGGGATTGTGATTCATTTGAGTCTTTAGGCAGCTCAGCACGTTATAAAGCATCTGGATTCTGTTCTCCTTTTGTTAAACAGAAACGATGTGGAGATTTATGTTTGTTCACTTTTACACACAGTTCATGAATTAAAGACATAAAAAGCTCAGGTCGTTCCTCATGGGAGGAAAGTTAAAACCAGAAATAAAC